GGTGATTTAACTATGAACACTGGTGATTTAACTATGAAAACTGGTGATTTAACTATGAAAACTGATTTACTTATGAAAACTGGTGATTTACTTATGAAAACTGGTGATTTCGGTGATTTAACTATGAACACTGGTGATTTAACTATGAAAACTGGTGATTTACTTATGAAAACTGGTGATTTCGGTGATTTAACTATGAACACTGGTGATATAACTATGAACACTGGTGATTTAACTATGAAAACTGGTGATTTACTTATGACAACTGGTGATTTCGGTGATTTAGCTATGAACACTGGTGATTTAACTATGAAAACTGGTGATTTACTTATGAAAACTGGTGATTTCGGTGATTTAACTATGAACACTGGTGATTTAACTATGAAAACTGGTGATTTACTTATGAAAACTGGTGATTTCGGTGATTTAACTATGAACACTGGTGATTTAACTATGAAAACTGGTGATTTACTTATGAAAACTGGTGATTTCGGTGATTTAACTATGAACACTGGTGATTTAACTATGAAAACTGGTGATTTACTTATGAAAACTGGTGATTTCGGTGATTTAACTATGAACACTGGTGATTTAACTATGAAAACTGGTGATTTACCTATGAAAACTGGTGATTTCGGTGATTTAACTATGAACACTGGTGATTTACTTATGAAAACTGGTGATTTACTTATGAAAACTGGTGATTTCGGTGATTTAACTATGAACACTGGTGATTTAACTATGAAAACTGGTGATTTACTTATGAAAACTGGTGATTTAGGTGATTTAACTATGAACACTGGTGATTTAACTATGAAACTGGTGATTTACTTATGAAAACTGGTGATTTACTATGAAAACTGGTGATTTCGGTGATTTAACTATGAACACTGGTGATTTAACTATGAAAACTGGTGATGAAAACTGGTGATTTCGATTTAACTATGAACACTGGTGATTTAACTATGAAAACTGGTGATTTACTTATGAAAACTGGTGATTTCGGTGATTTAACTATGAACACTGGTGATTTAACTATGAAAACTGGTGATTTAAACTGGTGATTTCGGTGATTTAACTATGAACACTGGTGATTTAACTATGAAAACTGGTGATTTACTTATGAAAACTGGTGATTTCGGTGATTTAACTATGAACACTGGTGATTTATGACTGGTGATTTAACTATGAAAACTGGTGATTTACTTATGAAAACTGGATTTACTTATGAAAACTGGTGATTTCGGTGATTTAACTATGAACACTGGTGATTTAACTATGAACACTGGTGATTTAACTATGAAAACTGGTGATTTACTTATGACTGGTGATTTACTTATGAAAACTGGTGATTTCGGTGATTTAACTATGAACACTGGTGATTTAACTATGAAAACTGGTGATTTACTTATGAAAACTGGTGATTTCGGTGATTTAACTATGAACACTGGTGATTTAACTATGAAAACTGGTGATTTACCTATGAAAACTGGTGATTTCGGTGATTTAGCTATGAACACTGGTGATTCATGGTGGTTTTAGAAAAAACTCCATATTGAATTACCCAGCGACTGCGGCATTTAACCATCAGCAATGGTGGTTTTTTCAGTATAGTTTCACCATCAAGTCAGGTAGAGGTTTTGACCCTCAGAATGAGCGTGGTTTGAGGAACCATTCCTAAGTTGACATCAACAAAATGTAATTTGTTTCAACTGAATGGGATTCCTGAATTTTATGGCAGTTACAAGGAGAAACATAATGGTCAATAGATAAACCCTTAGATTTTGGGGTTCCGAATTTGAAGACAACCCCATGTAGGTGAATGATAGAAACTTCAACTGGGAAAACTAGTGAATATTTGGGTAAAACTTTGGTGTGCCACCCCGAAAAATTGGCATGCGACCGACAAAAGATTCGACTTTAGCCAGTCAAGACTCGGTAAAGACCGGTGAAGGGTACATAGTTGAAGTTATTGTTTGCATGCTGGGGAATACAATACCCAACGAAGTGGTTTTTTTTGCTAGATACAGGATAGCTAAGATTAGCCATGACGCGAACCTCAGCAGAACTGGTAATGCGAAAGAAATGCGAAAAAAGTGATACTTTTTTATGGAAGACAGTATATAATGCCAAAGTTCAGTTGAGAATTGAGAATATCATACATACATACCCGTCATGATACCTTCATATGCAAATATGTCCACACATTATATTCATGAGTATAAACCCAATGATGATGATTATTATTATTATTGTTATTTATTGTTATCAGTATTCGAATTACCATGAAGTATCATAATTGTTAGTATCCAACTAGTCGTGTGGCAAACCCAATTTCATAAACCGTCCCCAAGTCATCACCATTTTTATGGGTGGTATGTTCACCACCCCCGGTCATGTTAGTTGTTTATAGTATTGGGTTTCCCATATTATCCAACCATTTAGTTGATCCTATAGTTATCATTCCGCATATATATATATTATAAACCATTACAAGCCATTATAAATAAACCATTATTTGCATATATATATATTCACCATTATAAACCATTATATATATATTATATGCCAGTATAAACCATTATAAATATATATATATATATATAACATATATATATAATATATAAGCCACTATAAACAATGTTAAACCATTATAAACCATCATTTATTTATGGCATGGTTTATAACTATTAGTGACACAGAACCATCACATCCCTTCCCGGTTGGACCATCCATCCCGGCAGCGGCAAAGGCGAAACTCCCATCATGCCGCCGCGCTCCTTCAGTGGCGTGGTAAAAATCTGGGTGGCTGGAAAGTTATGTATATATATATATTTATGATTATATGGCTATAATTATAATAATATAGTATATTATATATATATGGTTGTACAATATAGTATATCATATATATATATATCATAATACATGCATGTATGGAAGAGTCCTATATACTCAATCCTCGTTATGTTTATAGATGATGGTTCTTAAAAGGAGGATGGGGATGGGTTTCAATAGTAAAATGATCATCCATGACGACTGGATGATTTGGGGGTAGCTTTGAGGGAACCTCCATGTGGCAAGATTTTTCATAGTTGGACAATGTTGGACACTGTTGGTGACATGTCAATGTTTTTGGGGCTGGCATGGCATCATGATTTTTGTTTTGGATCTGTTGGAATAGTAATGGTCGGTCATTTTGAGCCACCTTCATGGAAGAATCGATTGATGACATACTTTGATATGCTAATGACAACAGGTTTTGTTGTTCAAGGGCCAACACGCATCCTGCCCAAGAGAAAACACACACCAACATATATGTATATATAAGTACATGGTGGCAGTGTCCCTCTTAAAACATGAGGACAACTCTAGCCAGCCCATTCAAGATTTTTCAGCCCATTGTGGAATCAAGAAGTCAACTTGGTCGGGTGAAATGCCCAACACGCCGTGGTTTCCTGCCAAATAAGTGCAGCTGTTACTTTGGCAGCTCCCAAGACCTTGACTTGTGATGAATTACACATTTTGATTGGATATATCTTTAGTTTCATGCGGTATGAATCATCAGATCATATATCTATATACAGATACAAAACCAGGACAAAAGTGTTTCCTCTTGACTATATAGCTGCTGCAACCCTCTCCAGTTAGACTCCTGACAGGTTTCATATGAATCACACTGGCGGATCGCGGATCAGCTGGTTTGCTTTAAAAGACATTTAATTTATTCCGACTTGAAATATGATCCGCCACGCAGGCCACGCGAAATGAAGACTCAATGAAGACAATTGATCTGCAGCTGAGGATGATGATATTTATAAGACGCCAAACGAGAACAAACCTTCTTCCTCCTGATGTATGCATACACGGTTTATCCATACATGTATGTATACACAAATGTAAATCCCAACAGCTAATCACATAGAAAAGATCCCATAAATCGTCATTGAATCCCATGAAATCCACAAGAAATCCACATTAAATAGCCACATTAGAGCCATATCTGATTGGTGGTTTGGAACATGAATTTTATTTTTCCAGATATTGGGAATTTCATACTCCCAACTGACTATATCATATTTTTCAGAGGGGTAGGTCAACCACCAACCAGTTTTGGTTAATGGTTAATAGTGGCTAATACTGGTTAATAGTGGTTAATAGTGACTAAATAATGACAAAATCATGAAGCTAATTCATATATATATATATATCATATATACATATCCCATTGAATTAATATGAATATTCCATTAAATCCCATTAAATCCAATTAAATCCCATGAAATTCCCATGAAATCCCATTAAATTCCCATTAAATTCCATGAAATCCCATTAAATCCCATTAAATCCCATTAAATCCCATGAAATTCCCATGAAATCCCATGATATTCATTGCTTCAAAAGCCACCGTTTGTTCCCAAAAAAGTCCAGTCGGTCGCCGTCGCAAGCGGAGGAAAGGCGAACTCTCCGTAGAGTTGATGCAGATCCTCTGGCGCGACGAGAAATTCCAGGGCCAGGAGGTGGGGATCCCCAAAACTCTGATACCCTCTGGTAAACGTTAACACAAAACTATGGAAATATCCACCATTTTTTGTTGCTGGGTAAATTTTAACTATTTCGACTGGGCCATTTTCTATGTCGCTTTTTGTATGTTTACCAGAGGGTAGTTTCAATATGTTTCAATAAACCATCCAAAACTCGTGGTTAATATTGGTTAATGATGATTAATATATGGGTCAATAGTGATGAATGATGGTTAATAGTGGTTAATATTGGTTCATATTGGTTAATAATGGTTAATAATTGGACTAAGGTAGAACTTTGTTGGAAAACATATTGATCTAAACCAGTTGAAACAAGTTAAAACAATGTTTCAATGTTTACAATCCAACACTAGTGGTTAATATTGGTTTTTATAATGGTTAATCATTGGAATAATGTGGTTAAAACAATGCCATTTTTACTACCCATGACTGGGAATGGTTTATACATACCACATAAAAATGGTGACTGGGGGATGGTAAAGATGACATTGTTTTAACCACATTAGGTTTCAATCTGTTTCAAACAATGTTTCAATGTTTACCATCCAAAACTCGTGGTTAATATTGGTTAATGATGATTAATATATTGGTGATGGTTAATAGTGGTTAATATTGGTTAATAGTGGTTAATATTGGTTAGTATTGGTTAATAATGGTTAATAATTGGACTAAGGTAGAACTTTGTTGGAAAACATATTGATCTAAACCAGTTGAAACAAGTTAAAACAATGGTTCAATGTTTACAATCCAACACTAGTGGTTAATATCGGTTTTTATAATGGTTAATCATTGGAATAATGTGGTTTAAATAATGCAATTTTTACTACCCATGACTGGGAATGGTTTATACATACCACATAAAAATGGTGACTGGGGGATGGTACAGATGAGATTGTTTTAACCACATTAGTTTCAATTTGTTTCAAGATTTAATGTTGGAAAACATATTGATGATCTAAACCAGTTGAAATTTCAATATAGAAAACATATGGTCTAATTTTTGAATGATCTAAAAATTAACGTCAGTTTGATGTATGTTGATAGTTGATAGTTGATGTGTATCTAATTTAAAGAACATTGAATAGGGAAAGGGATGGTGAACCAATGTATGGATTTAGAGGTACCCTGTTTTCAGAGAAAAAAATATGTCAGGTTTTGTCAGTTTATGTGACTTTCTGTGTGTACAGTTGTGTCATCTACATATTGTCATTTATTGAATGTCATTGGCAACATATAATCCATCAATATATATATATATACCTGCCCTATATATATATTATGTAATTAATCAATATTAATCATATAAATATAATCCATCATTGGCAGGCATATTGTCATTAATTTTTTCACTGACCTGTCCGACAACTTGTCCTATGCTTTCGGGAAGTCGACCCCTTTCGGAAAAAGCCTCAAGTATCCAGCGATTTGGAACTTCATCGCGTATGGAAAAGACAACCAAAGTAACCAACCCTCTGGTAAATTCACAGTTGGACCCTGAACATCACCAATTTTGAGTGGTTTCACTCATCTTCCAAATCCTATCTGGCAGGGTCTATGTTATTTATTGGAGGGTATCTAAGAAGATCCAAGGGGGGTGCTGCGCTCCATTTGTTTGGTGAATCATGAGCCTCGCCTGGCGGCTATCTTGGTTCACCTCCAAAGACATTTCCTGGTGGGGTTCCTTGTTTCGATAGGACACACAATGGTGATTTCAAAGCATCAAACATGAGGAAAAACATTCGGATTTCACCAAGAACTTGATGGAAAGATGTGGATTTATGATGAGTTGGTGAAGAGTTCACTAGGTGAAAGGGTTTATGGTAGATTAATATGTTCATGGTTTATAAAGCAACACGCACAACTGGGGGGCGTGATCTTGAAGACACTGGAAGTGATTAGGGATTTCTGCGAACAGGGTTTAAGGTTTAAATATATAGATATAATATAATATGCACATGCCAAGAGTGCGGAGAGGATGATATGACTGACCAACAACAATTTCCACAAAATTACGCAACCAATGGGCCTTTTTTCACCAGCACAAGTTCAAGATGCCACCCACATGATGTGCTGATTTCACCATCAGGAACGGGGATTTACTCAGATATCCATAGATATCCCGAATCGAACGCAGAAAACTGCCATTCTGCCGTGGATGTTCCACTGCGCCATGTTTCCCATGCCGGGTGTATCATCATCCCAGCGTCCAGGCGACGTTGCGAGCCTTCTTGGAACACTTCAGTCTGTTGGTACCTATCCACTCAGGTCGGGATGGCGTTGTGCGACCTCTCACTGTGAATGATGGCTAGAGTAAGGGAAACCATTCCAAAATGAGCTGATGGTTGACTTGGGAATTGAATGGAATTGATATATATATATATAGTATGATATAGTTTAAGTTGCCCAGCATCATGCGGATCCCCAGTATGTTCTATTTCCAGCTGGAATGATTGATCTTGTTGGCGGTGCCGATGAGTCAACCTTGATCAAGGCTAGCTTCATAGGTTCATCAGCGATCTGAAACGCTTGGTTTTTTGTGTCCCAACTTCAGCCAACAAGTAAATTTGCACTTGTCATAACGACTCAGAGAAGAACTCCAGACAATTCCAGAAGAAGACGCAACAAAGAAACTGCATACATACTAATTACTGTAAACTTTCGCACCCCTCTGAAAACTAGCAGAGAACTGCAAACATGGGCTTAGCAGAGGGTTCGAAGGCATTTTTTTGCGGATTTACATATTTGGTCGTTGACAAGCCCGAAAAGCTCTAGAGGTAGCAGACAATTTGCTGGCGGAAAATGACCGGTACACGTCGTGGGATACACCTCGGTTGAGGCAAACAACCACCTAATTTAAAGATCCACTTGGAACACTGCAGATGTCAAACAGCTGCCTTCACAGCCCCATGTGGTCACTTCTGTAGGGAATCTCCCGAACCGGCCCAGGAGCCTCCCCATTGCCACAGGTAGCCGTCCCTCTTGGTTGGTGCCGAGCCTTTTGCCAAAACGGCGACGGCAGCTAGCAACGCAGGCAGATGGTGTCAAGGCCTGGGGTGGTTGGTTTGTTCTTTCCCCGGGGCCTCTTTGAACCTTGCTTTGGAATCCTGGGTTGAACAGGTTTCTACTTCTGTGTCAAATCCAACTTATTTCTGCGGGGTTTCTGTTGGTTAAATTTCCAGTCAGTCAAATCTTTGCCATATTTCTTGCTGAATTCACCTGTTTGATGGTTAACGCCCCTCTTTTTCCATCATTTTTGATGGTGAAATCACTTTCAATGGCTCAGGCACCAAGGGGTTCACCCTTCCGGTGGTGTTTTCGATGTCCCAACGGTCCCAACGGTGGTCCCAACGGTGATCCCCCGTAGGCGGCCTCGTTGTACTTCGACTTTCACGGCGCCCTGCGTCAGCTGCTGCCCTCGCTGCTGCCGCGCCTCTATGCCACGCTGCAGCGCGACGAGCCCACGCTGCGGGGGAAGATGCTCTGCCAGGAGACGGGACGTATGGGACGCTATGGGATGGATGGTGCGGGATGGTGGGAATATGTGGGAATAATATAGGGAGATATAGTGGGAATATAAGGGTTTTAATATGTTTTGATGAATGAAATAGGTGCTGATCATGGGGATGATATATGATACTACGGGGATAGGGAGATGTAATGGTTTAAATAGATTGATTATGATTGATTAGGTGCTGATCATGTATTCATGATACTATGTGCATCCCACCAAACTTGTTGCGAACCAGATGGGTCAACCCTATTGAGGCTTATTGTACGAAGGGTGAGTCGCATCTATCATTGGTGATATTGGTGTGGTCACCTTTCGGGGGCGCCATTGAAAATACCTCTATTGGTGTGTTGCATGTATTCACAGACTTCATGATCCCGCCAACATGGCCTGGGACTTGAGAGCTCGGAACTGATGCCGTCGGCTGTGCGCTATGAATGGGGATATAGAAGTCTGTAACCAGTTTCTTGATTTTGGGAGGATATGTAAGATTGGCCATGATGAGGGGTATCGGTTAACTATAAAATATTCTGAAAATTTGACATCGGGTAAACCTTGCTGAATATTTCGATCGTGTTGAGGACATGAATTTTTGCATTTTCGTAGAAGTTTTGAAGCGACAATTGCTTACTTGCAGAGGTTTATATTGTTTAATTAATCATAGATTATCATAGTGTCATAGATAAGATGATTAAGTACTTCTGACTTTATCAACCCAATGATGTGGTCTATGATCGGCTCCTCAGCCAGGATTCTACTGTTGGTCATTCCCCCATTCTCTACGTTCAGCAGTGAGAAAATGATTGAAATCGTGGTTGAAACGAACACGTGGTTCCACAGAACTGCGTTAACCCTGAAGATGTGAAAAAGACTTCTATACAAAAGAACTTGTAGCCACAGAGGCAGGGAATACTGCATACTACCTCAAACACCCCTTGTTTTTTGCTCAACATGTTTATCTGTCATGAATGGGCAATCAAAGAAACTTAAAGTTCCCAATTCCCCTTGATCCATTTTTCGTGTCGCCCATCATGTACATCCTCTGGGTCTCCAAGTTGGTGGAGGACTTTCTGGCGTTTTCCATGGATGTGATCTTGGTGACATTGGAGTTAATCCACCTGGAGTTTCTGGGATGAAACGCGGTGCCCAAAAATGGGCCGGTTTTTTGTGAGATGGGATTGAACTATGACCAAACCAATGCAAAACTGACCTTTAGAACTTTAGAATGCAGTTTCGGGGATACATTCTATATCATTCTATATAGTTGTTTCAGGGTGAGTGTATCACCAGCCACATGAAAATATGTATACATCGGAGCACCAATGATAAACGAGAGTCACCTAAGGTGATTAGTCACCAGCCAAACCGGAGTTGTGCCGGTCAGTTAGGAACCAACTCCACTTAAAACTGCTGATTGGCTACATGATATGCAACGGATACCTGGCTGGAAACAAGCATGTCAACTCCGGGTTATTATCTCTTGAAGATGTCACACATTTTGGGTTTCACGCTGGATTTTTCGGGAGTTTGGGGGCTGTGAATATGAACTGGGTATGGGAAAATGAGTCTCCTTAGCGCCCCTTCGCCATGTTTTTGGGGCTTCCTATGGCAGCCCCACACAGACCTCGATGTCCTTTACAGATTATGGGTCTGGTTTGGCTGAACATATAGACTCCCAAATGCAACGGTTCATTATCACATGACTCATAAATCATATGTAGAATTGCAAGTCGAGTGTTTCAGGAAGGGCTCTCCACACTTGGTTAGTTTATGCCCCAACCCAACACACCAACACACAAACACATATACATACGTACGTACGTACATAGATAGACAGAGAGAGAGAGAGAGAGAGATAGATAGATAGATAAATAGATGGATGGATGGATAGATAGATAGATATAGAGAGAGAGAGAGTCCATATAGATGATAATTCCATAAAATACAACAGGCATATACTAGGGTTATTTATTACCTTTGTGTGATCGTCACATCGAAGCTATTTCCATGTCGTCATTCCCATGGTCTTAGGCCCTGTGAAACCTTGAAGTTGACCGTCACAGCCTCTGAAGAGGTCGACCATCACATGATGTTCCTTGGCCAAAAACAGGCCTGGCTCCCCACATGGAACCTCCATTTTTGTTGCTGTGTTTTTTCGAAAGATGTCGGAAAATCCATGGAACAATCCTGGAAGCCTGTTACAACATGTTGTGGGGTTCCATGTTACATCGAATTTTAGGACCCCTGAAATTCCGCGACATGTGGTTAATGGTGGTTATCAATTAGGTGAATAGACACCTCCAAAATGGGATAGAATCAATCCCCAGGACAGTGATACAAAAATAAAAATATAAGGGATTTACCCTACAACAGTTGGCTAGAAAAATCCAAGTATATACCAGTACGTATCCATGTTTCATCCCCATATTGTTAGTAACATCATGTGTTATATCCCAATGAAATGTCCTTCATTTCAGCCACACCTAGTTTTGATGCTTACATATAATCTGATTCAAAAGTATCCCCATGAATCTCAATCCACATGATTGATGGTAAATATCCCAATCACATTTTCATGGGGATAATTTTGAATCAGCATGTGGATATTATACCATAATCCCAACGAAATTATATATATCCAAATATATTTGTTATTTATCCCACATTATTATGGTGTTTTTTCCTCCCATCTGCACCCCGGGCCGCGATCAATTGAATCATCCCGTACGGCCAGGTTTTCTGGTAGTCAAACATGGCAAATTGAAAATGTGGAAAAAAACAGCTATAAATGGTGGATTCTCAATTGCCATCTTTGATTACCAGTAGAAAAACAGGTATACATGATTATATACTGTATGTCCAATCTTGTTGGTTACATCCATTTAAATGCATTTAAATGCCATAATAGGTTGATAAATTGGCAAAAATAGACAGTTCCAAGGTTTATTGGATCACTATATCTGGGGTGGAAGCAACAATGATTATATATTATAATATATATATATACATATCTACGTTTTGCGGATTCATCAACATATTCATATTATTGCTGTATACCCTCTATCTTCGTAGTGAAACTCAATCTTGGTATCCAATCTCATTCTATGGTTGGCTTATCTTCAACGATATTCTTAAGCCAACCTTTTTTCAGCATAATTACCCCATGGAAGTGCAGTTCCAGTCATAAATGGATTATATATGACATTATATAACCATAGTGATAAGGGGGCCCATGTCCCAACTTATGGGGGTTTAGTTCTCCGTGGTTATACCGCTTCTTTGTCGTTTTTAAATCTCAACTGCATCCCGAAATACTTGTTCATAGTTCTATGTATCCCATTTTTTTTCCATATCTCATGAAAGATCCCATGAAAGATCCCATAGAAACCCACCATTTTTCCCAAAATCCCATAGAAACCCACCATTTTTCCAAAAATCCCATAGAAATCCACCATTTTTCTCAAAATCCCATAGAAATCCACCATTTTTCCCCAAAATCCCATAGAAATCCACCATTTTTCCCATGGCTTTTGTGTCACTCCTCGGAGATCAGGTCCAAGACCTTCCGCTTGGTCTCCGAGGGCCTGGCTGTGTCGCTGCCGCGGCTGAGCTTCGCCACTAAGGTGCCGTGCCCTGCGTGCGCGTGCAGCGCCTTGGTGGAACGTCCAACTCGAGGTGCCAGGCCGACATGGTAAACCATAGGACAATCATTGGGAAAACAATAGGAAAATGGAGGTTTTACCCTCTGGTAAATGTTAAATACCCCATAGAAATAGTTGATTTACCCAGCATAGCTATTGAAAATGACCATGTATAGTGGATTTTCCCATTGAAAATGGATGAAGATGGTGATTTTCCATGGTTATGTAAACGTTTAGCCTCTCCCATGACGGATCCATGGTGCTGCTATATATGGTAACATGGATCCCATCAATATACCCCAGTCATGTTAGCATATATACCAGCACAATGGATCCTATGGGTCTGGTAAACATTAACACAAAACTGATGGGAAAGATCCACCCTTTTTTGTTGCTGGGTAAATTTTAACTATTTCGACTGGGCCATTTTCAATGTCGCGAACTGTTTGTTGACCAGAGGGTAGTCTGATTCTAATAATCTGATAATCTAATTCTATCCATGATATTCTATGATTATATAATACCAGCATATTAGATTAGTACCCCATTAGATACCAGACATATACAGATTAGTGATGATATTCTATGATCAATGATATTCTATGATTAATACCAGACATATCAGATTAGTACAGAGTAGGAACATTGGTGTTTGAAATTTATCTAATGCTGAATTTCCATGGATATTCTATGGATCAATACCAGACTTTTTTTGTAAATATAGTGATCCCCATTTTATCCGAATTATTGTAAATATAGATGTAGTGATCCAATATTCATGATTGGATTAGATGAGTGATACGCATGGAGGTTTCCTAAACTAGGGGTACCCCTAAGATAATGCGTTTTAGTAGGATTGTCCATAAACCATCCAGCTATTGGGGTACCCCCATTTTAGGAAACTCCCATATGATTTAGATATATTACTAAGTAACTACGACGTCTATTATATCTAGTACTAGTAATATTTTACTGGCATATTTAGTGGAATAAACATCCATTCACCAGCGATCTATTACTTGGTAATATTTACGTAGGAATCTGTTTCAGTAATGTATTATTTGTTTAAGAATATTACTAACCAACTATTGTAATGATCTATTATTGGCAATAAGTATTAGTAATATATTATTAGTAATATTATCAACCAACTATTGTTATAATCCATTATCAGTAGTTCTGTATTACCATATTTAGTATTTAGGGGAATGACAAACATCCATTAAAAAGCTATTTTGGGGCTGGATACCAGGGTTTTGACTCAGAGCCGTATTGGTATTAAAAAGAAACATCCACAGACAATGCAGTAGCGATATGATATTAGATATTAGAGCCATAAATGTTGTTGTGACAATTTCATGGCTTTGTTTGGTATGAAGAGGTGTCATTTTTAGTTCGGTTAACACATACTGGTTGCTACACACTATTGTTAGCTGGTTAGTTGTTATTTAGCACCCATCAAAAGAATCATATTAAGAGACAGGTTGAACTGAACAGATTAAATTCCCTCACAAAATTTGATAGATGGTATTGACTTTCCGATTGACTTTTCTGCATTTATTTTTGTTTCTGGGAGGGGTCCTAAGTTATAGATAAGTTGTCATATTATGGAACTGTATTTCTGTCATATGATATATTGATTGTCATTGATTGTCATTATTAAACATTTTATGGAAAACACATGGGGGTTGATGGGGATAGGAGATGGGTGAACCCATCGCCAGCAGAATATGGGGGCTTCCTAAAATGGTACCCTCAAATGGATGGTTTATAATGGAAAATACCATAGCTGGATGGTTTATGGATGGTTTATGGATGGTTTATTTCATGGAAAATCCGAAAATCAAATGGATGATTTGGAGGTAGCCCGCTTTCAGGAAACCTGCATATGATATGTATCGTTCAGTATGATTGCCTATCATTGGTTTTGGGCACCTGTAACGCAGGGAACTTCAATGAACTGTGTTTGGTGCACGGGTTATGGTGGGTCGCATCCTCTGTTTTGGTTGGTTCCACCCTGTACCCTGATTCAACCATGGAATGGATGGGTATTTTAAATTATTTTAGTACTTTATTTGTTTTTGCGTGCATGGGATCTACATTATATATAATTATATATTCATATTTTCAAATATATATATATGTATACATATATATATATATGTATACATATATATATATATGTATACATATACTTATTTATATATAGACATCTACTTATATGTGTATATATATATATACACTAACCAGCTCAAACGCACAGCATCTTTTGCAGGGTATCTGAGGTTGGCCATCTTCCCAGCTTGAGCCCAACGACAGCACTCCCAAGGAGGAACCTCCCAATGGGAGATCTGGGGACCAAAAATGGGAGATTTCAACCAACATCAGATAGGGATTTCACCAGTAATGAGTAAACCTTGGTACCCGGCCTGGTAAACTAACAGTGTGCGACATTGAAAATTGCCATTGAAATAGTGAGTTTTCCCATTAAACATGGTGATTTTCTATAGTTACGTTAGTTTACCAGAGGGTAATTTCGGCCATCTTCTTATCTTCTTTGGTAGTTTTATTTGGCCGAATGGAGAGCATGTTGCGAGGTATCTAAGTTAAACCATCAGATCAGCACTATTGTTTTTGTGCGGTTGTAGTTTCAGGAACAGATACTAAGAACCAGCAAAATCAGTCAGTTTACCAACAGGAGTGACCAAGAGTGCTGGGGATACTATTGGCTTTGCCATACTATTCCAAAAAAATGAGGTAGATACAGTAGTAAATCATTTGCCACAGATTTACACCGTTCTTTATATATTACTGGTTGGTGGTTTGGAACATGAATGCATCATATTGGGAATTTCATCATCCCAACTGACTTTCACTCCATGATTTTTCAGAGGGGTAGGCTCCACCAACCACCAACCAGAAATTGGCCACAGATTTACCTCGGCACAGGAGACGACCTGGATGCCCCGTGTCGGTGAGCAGGTGGAAGTCTTCAGCAAGTCAGCGCAGTGTGCCGCGGCCGAAAACTGGGAACAATGCGTTGAAAAATGGTGACATTTTCTAGCGAGAATTTTGGGATTAAATGACATTCTTTTTAAAAGATAGAAAAATTAATAACCATGCACCAAAAAGACAAAAATCCGAAATCCTAGTAGAATCCTGGTGAATTGAACCTTTTCTGCATTTGTTTGGGGGTTACGAAAAAAAACACTAGTGAGCGGCCTTACATGTTTAATTTATCCATGGTTGGGATGATGATCCCTCAAATGATTCTTTTTTTTGGATGAATTGAAACATGTTCAAACCA